CGGAATTGTCTAAAAAATTCCAAGAAAAAACAATTCCAGGAGAATTAACTATCCAGATGAAGTAAAATCAAAGAATTCACCAAAAAAACTAAAAAAAACCCCAAAATTAAATAGCTAAAAGAAAAACGAACATAGAGCAAATAATTCTTTTTGGAATCTTATCAGTTAACTTACGAGACAAGAAGTAAGTGACGGCAAACAGAGCAATGGCCCACCAAACCGTCCGTACTTTGGCTTCGTCGATCAGATCCTGTATCGTCTCCATCGGCTTCTTTTCTCTTAATTTTTTCTCCCTCGGATTCTTTTTTCTAATTCCCGAATCCAATTTCTTTAATTTCAGAATTTTTCAATTCTTTCTTAACATGGAAGAAAAGTAATCGCCGTAGACGAAACAGAGAATAGTTGAATTTTCCTTTTTTTTTTTTTTTGTGTTCTTCGATCAGCTTAACTTCAACGGTGTTTAATTTGGAATTACAAAGAAAAAAATAGTGAAACAATAGAGAGGAAAAGAGACTATACGGAATTTGTTTTTTTTTTTTAAATAAATATAGTACAGTCAAGCCATAAACTTGGTCAAAAAAAAAAAAAAAAAAGAAACAAAAGACAGCAGACAGAGACAGAGCGATAAAAAGCGAGGAAAAAATAAAGAAGTGTTTTTCTTTTGTTATTTATTTTTTAATCAAATCTTGGCGGAAACGGTAAAACATTCGTCTAAGTGCTTTAAACTGACTTTCTCGTGGGCTTTGGGTCCAAAGTCCATATAATTAGTGGGCTCAGGAATCCAAATAATCGTGCAAACCTACTCAGTTGAAAATGCAGGCGAAGGCTCCAATATGGGTTTGGACTAGACGTGAATCGGATTGATCTACTTATAAAAGCTCTTTTTTTTGTTTAAATTTAATATTAAAATATTAAAAATATTTTTATAATAATATTTAATATTAAAACAATCTCACGGTTTGAGTTGAACTGGAAAAATCTTGATCAAAGCTGAATTTGAATCAGACAAATTACTCTAACTACAAACATTTCAATTTTCAAAATTAGAATTATTGTGCATAGTTTTAAATTGACATTATTAAAAAAAAAAAAAGAAATTTGGGAGTTAATAAATAATATAAAAATTAAAAAGCAAGATTTAGTTAATAGAAAGTATGGATGATATATTTGTCTTTTGCTCTTAAAAGAATTAACCAAAAAATAATAAAAATAAAAAAATATTTTTTATATTTTAATTTTATATTTGGATTTATTATATTTCGATTACAATTTAAATTAATTATATTAATTTTATTATTAAATTAAATTAATCAAAAATTAAAAATTTTAAAACTTATTTTTAATAATTTATTAAAATGAATTTAATAATCAATCTGTTAATCAATTATTAATTTGATTTAAACCAACGACGGTATCCTAAGCAAAAATATCTTTTATATATACAAAAAAATTTATTTTTCTTTTTTTATTAGCAGAAGACTCCTCTTTTAACGAGAAGACAACTTATCTACAAAACAAGCGATCCAACAAGTGCAAAACCGGTGGGCGGTCCAGCTGCTGCACCATTCTTCTTTGCCAATCACGAAACATGCCATCCAACGACTCTCATTTTAAGATGAGACCCAATCAGACCAAAATCAACGGCTACGATCTGTCTGTCACTCCGTATACACCAAAAATATCATTACATTAAAATATCCTGGATCCTTATCCAGTTCGGTCCACTATTTAACCACATCGCCAGACCGTCCCAAACGCTGCGAAACAAGTAATTAGCAGAGGGAAAGAATCTCAGTTATTTTGTATACGTTTGGTTACAATGATAAATTCGATCCTACTCCGTTCCTCTTCATCCCCTCTTCTTGTGGATGTTAAGGATATCGACCATACGGGATTACCACCGTCGTCGAAAACGAGATTCGCTTCGACGATTCGTTGTTCTTCGAGCAGAGACGTCTACATACCGAAGCTAGCGCCTTTTAACAGCACAAAACTCGAGCGTTACCTTAAAGAGCCTCCCTTGATTGAAAAAACCAAGAACGAGCTCACTGGTACGTAAATTAATTGTACAGCCTTTTTTAAAAAATAAGTGATCAGTAGTCGTAATTTTTATTGATTTTTGTTGGTGATTTTGTTATTTTCAGATTATTGCACGACACTTGAAGGAGACGATTGTTATCGTTGCTGGAGAGCTTATTTCGAACTGAAAGATCTCGAGGCAATTTTTTTTATAGATTTAAATTTTAAATAATTAAGATGGTAGTTTAAATTAAATTGTTTTTTCTTAGTTTGGTTAATATCTGTTTGGTTTCTTAGAAAATAAATTAAGGTGGGAAAAGAATAATTAAACTCAAGCATTTTTTTATGGCATATTTTAAGAAAAATTATCTCATCCATAGCTTTAGCAAGGCCTGACATGTATCCCTTTGCTATATTAAAAATAAAAAATTAATTAAAAAAGTAGGACATGAGACATATTATTGGCAACTTATGAAATTAACAAACCCTAGTATTTTTCTGATATTTTTCTTTTCCATGATTGCATAACAGAGAGAGATGCCGAAAGAAGATTTAGAGAAGTTAATTCTTAAAGCAGAGAGTGTCGAGTCATTGATCGGATTCGTACATGGAGTTGCTTCCATCTACAACAAGGGAAACGACAATTGGCTTTCTAGTATGGCTAAGCCATTGCATTCTGAAGATGAAGGGAAGAAATTCTTTCATATCCCAGATGGGTTGCCTAAATCTGCAGAAGAAATAGAGGAGGAAGAGAGAGCAACAATGCCTGATTCCCCATATACCAGATTTCTTAGAGTTAAAGGCCCATTTCCTGCTTGGTACTCTCGCACCTGACCACGAAACCGATTGATAAATAGAAAGGTTGTAATTATCGAGTAGCATATGCTAGCTTTATTGTAGATAAAATGTGTGGGGAGGTTTTTGAGTCAGTTTGGTTTTTGGCAAAAAGGGTTTTCTTGGTCTTGACATGTGAGGCTATGAGCTGTGTGATACAGGGGTTTGCTTTGAAGAGTTGTTTAAAGTTTGCCTGTATTTCCAGAACAATATTGTTCATTGCTAACTTTTGTAAAAATAGTAAAATTTTCTTTTATTTTGCATTGCCATGTGAACGAGTAGTTTACTACGATTATATTTTCTACTAGGTAGATTTAACAATATGAAAAATGATAAAAAAGTGATATAATAATTATATATAAATTTAATAAAATCAAAAAATAAAAGAAGATATGAGTTTATAAATTTTAATATTTAATAGTTTATATGATATGAAAATACGAATAAATACATCTTCTACTAAAAACTGAAGAAATGTGGGTTCCTTCTCCTCACCCCGTCATTTTGGAACTGAGAAAAGTTTTATAATTTATAATGTTGTCGTTACTTTGAGGCTCACATGATAAAATGATGTCATTTTGAGATTAATCCCAATAAAATAAGTACATAATATCATAATAAAAATCACTTGTCATCGGCCATTCAAATAAATCATTATGGATCATTCAAATGAATCATTAATCAATTCTTCCATGCTTAGTGCTTATAACTAAGGTCATATGTTGTATTTAACTCCAATTTTCAATAATTGTAAAAGTAATATAAATGGCATTCAGAAGCATTGCAGGAAAATTTTCACATTCTTGAATCCTAGCAGTGTTTGAAGATAAATAGTGAACATGAATCTTGTGAAAGTCGCGTTGGATTACTTCACTGTCATTCTGTTGATTATACATTAATTCTCCTCTGATTACCACAACCATGAAGTTGAAAGAAGGGGAAAAATAGCTAATCCATTGTGTTTGAGAAATAAGTATACTGCCAATTGTCAGGATTTTGCAACATTATGTCCAGACATGAAGTTGATATTCTGGCACGCACGAGTTATACGTTGCAAAGAGGACTTGGTCAATTGTTTGTTTTTAGCTATGCTGTTCTGGTTTCATCCCGCGAAGCAAGAAATCCCACTTTCTAAATTTGTCTCTTAAAATTAGAGGCAAGTCTAAATTTGTGTGGTGTTTAAATGAATCTAACAGATTTTCCGGTGCTAAAACAGGAGCCAACTTCCCACAACTTCTCAATGGCTGTTAAACCGTACCTTCCTTTCCCCTTAATATAATCCTCTCCTCTTCAGTACCCTCTGCATCCTATAAGCAGCCTTGGGCCTACCAAGGTGGTCAGCAATGGCTAAACCTCAAAAATTACAGGCCTTTGGCTGCTTTCTTTTCTTCTTTTGTTTTTTCTCTTCATTATCAACTTCTACTTTTGCATTGTCTGATGCTGAAGTATCGTATATCGCTCATCGCCAGCTCCTAGCCCTTCCTGAAAATGGCGAACTTCCTGAGGATTACGAATATGAAGTCAAAATAATTGAAACTTTTGCAAATCAAAGGCTGAAGAGGGCTTACATTGGCCTTCAGGCCTGGAAAAAGGCTATGTACTCGGATCCGTTGAACACAACTGGCAATTGGGTTGGTCCGAATGTGTGTGCTTACACTGGTGTCTTTTGTGCTCCAGCATTGGATGATCCCAAATTGAGTGTTGTGGCTGGCGTTGATCTTAATCACGCTGACATTGCTGGATACATTCCAGCAGAGTTGGGGTTGATGACTGATCTTGCATTGTTCCACATAAATTCTAACAGGTTTTGCGGGATTATACCCAATAGCTTGTCTAAGCTTACGCTTATGTATGAGTTTGATATCAGCAACAACCGCTTTGTTGGTCCTTTCCCAGATGTTGCTCTATCATGGCCAGGCCTCAAGTACCTTGACGTCAGATTCAATGATTTTGAAGGCAAAATACCCTTTGGGATTTTCGAAAGGAACCTTGATGCATTGTTCTTGAACAACAACAGGTTCACCTCCACCATTCCTGAAACTATTGGCAAATCCACCGTGTCTGTTGTGACATTTGCCAATAACAAATTCCAAGGATGCATTCCACACAGCATTGGCAAGATGGCGAACCTGAATGAGATTGTTTTCATGAACAATGACCTTGGTGGTTGCTTCCCAGCAGAGGTTGGTTTGCTTGGCAACGTTACTGTCTTCGACGCCAGCTTTAACTCATTTACAGGTATCTTGCCACAAAGCTTTTCAGGCTTGAAGAAGCTTGACCTCTTGGATATTTCCCACAACAAGCTGACAGGAATTGTACCCGAAAATGTTTGCAAGTTGTCAAGCTTGTCTAATTTCACATTCTCTCACAACTACTTCAAGGGAGAGGCCAATGCTTGCATACCACATTCAAGGAGGGACGTTGTTTTGGATGACACCAGCAACTGTTTGGCTGGTAGGCCAAAGCAAAAGTCAACCAAGGAATGTCAACCCGTGCTGAGTCGCCCTGTGGATTGTAGCAAGGACAAGTGTGCTGGAGGCTCTTCATCTCCCAAACCACAGCCACCTTCGAAATCTAGCCCATCCAAGCCACAGTCAAAACCACAGGTCACAGCTCCTCCAACGCCAAAGCCACAGCCAAAACCACCGGTCACAGTTCCTCCAACGCCAAAGACGCAATCAAAACCACCTGTCACAGCTCCTACAACACCAAAGCCACAGCCAAAACGTCCAGTCACAGCTCCTCCAACGCCAAAGCCAATACCATCCACACCAGATGACCCATACGGACTGTCTCCAGTAAACCCGCTCCGTAAACCACCAGCACCAGCACCATTACCTGATCCACATCATAAATCTCCAGTGAATCCTACTAGGCCAGCAGCACCTGAGAACCCAACACCGGAGCCACCAAAACCAACGCCAGCAACTAAGAAACCAACTCCCAAGTCACCAAAACCAACAGCAGCACCAGAGAATCCAATTTCCCAACCACCAGAATCAGCTCCAATGCATTCCCCTGACCCACATGGTAGATCTCCTGTTGGAGGGGTTCGCTCACCTCCACCACTAGTTCAATCTCCACCCCCACTCGTCCAGTCACCCTCGCCACCTGTCCATTCACCACCACCCCCTCCACCTGTCTACTCACCACCACCACCTGTCAATTCACCACCTCCCCCAGTCCACTCACCACCACCTCCTGTCTACTCGCCACCACCACCAGTCTACTCCCCTCCACCACCCGTCCATTCTCCACCTCCACCAGTTTTCTCACCACCACCACCCGTCCATTCTCCACCTCCACCAGTTTTCTCACCACCACCACCCGTCCATTCTCCACCTCCACCAGTTTTCTCACCACCACCACCCGTCTACTCTCCACCTCCACCTCCACCAGTATACTCACCACCACCACCAATCTACTCACCACCTCCACCAGTATATTCACCACCACCACCCGTACAATCCCCACCTCCACCGGTTTACTCACCACCACCACCACCACGATCTCCAACTCCATCTCCTCCTCCTGCTGTTGCTTCTACACCGCCACCTACCGAGGAATTTGTCCTCCCTCCAAACTTAGGATTCCAGTACTCATCGCCACCTCCACCAATGTTCCCAGGCTACTAAATAGTATAATTTTGACATCTTTATATTGTATATTCTCCTTTTTGGGCATAAAAAAGAAGAAAAGAAAAAGAGGCCATGTACACATCCATATTGTTAGCTTAACTTCTCATTGGATTTGGAATTTCCATTCATATTGTGACATGATTGTTTGAGAAGTTCTTATATATAAATGAATCTCCATTACATCCGATCAGTTTCCTCTATCTGTCTCTTTTATTAATAATATTTGAAATCTTTCATGATGTTAGCTTAACTTTTCCATGTTATAAACAGCTATAAATTAACATCAGAAGAATGAAATAATGAGCAAGAACTTTTGTTGCATCCTGTGATATTCTCTTTCTGATGGTACATATTTAGGCTTAGACAGTTCCTGGTATGCCAAATTGTCATTAACTACATCAAGTGAAATCAAAAGTTTCACCATTTTATTGTGATTTCATACGTTTATTACTTTACAAATCAAAGGAAATATATATCCATGCCGGGGATAGCGCATGTTTAGGAAAAGCTCTCCGCTCACGTTAGCAGGCATATCTTGAGCTGAGGATTCTCGTCCAACTGACAATTTTCTCAATTAATCGCTAATTTTCCTGCATTTTCTTTTGCTCACTATTGTTTTTATTGTTACATACTTGAACAAATTCTTTGATTCCTTAATTGTTTGAGTTTGTTGCGATTAGGGATACACAAGCTCTGCTGCAAAGGCTTCAAGGAAGATGCCTACTGGTCAATAATCTTTAACGAATGGAAGATCTGGTCTGATGACTGGTTTCAGAAGGGAGCAAGGCCGTGTAACGGTGATCAAGTCGCAAGGTACAAGGGATGAGGTAGGGACTGAGAGGAAGGAAATTGTAGCAAACTGGAGAAGCTTGTTTGGGGCTCCTACAGATCAGTCCTTACAGTTCTACCTCGCAGAATGACAATGGAAAGATCTTGGTAAAGCCAGCAGATGAGGTGTTTGAAGAAGGGATTCAGCAATGGCAGAATTCACTAGTAGCTCAGTTCATCGGTAGGGTTCCTAATTTTATTCAATTTCAAAGGCTGGTGAACATGATTCGGGGAAAAGAAGGCCTGGTTGAAATTAAACCTGCGGGAGACAATTTATTCATTTTGCAATTTTCATCGAAACAAAATCGAGACAGAGTATTGGAGTCAGGACCACGGCACATACAAAATAAACCAATTATTGTAAGGAGGTGGGAGCCTGACATGAAATCGTTGGATTTCAAGATGAATTAAATGCCAATTTGTGTACAACTGGGAAATATTCCGTTGGAATTGTTCTCCAAGAAGGGATTGAGCTACATTGTCAGTGCTCTAGGCAATCCCTTATACTTGGACAGAATTAGGCAAAGCAAGAAAGGCTGGCTTATGCCAAAATATGAGTGGAAGTTGATGTGAATATGGATATTCCTCGTTTTATTGATGTAATGCTTCGTAATGGTACTATCACTTCTATTTCTGTAACGGTTCCATGGATGCCACCAAAGTGCCAGCATTGTAAGGTGTATGGTCACAGCGAGAAGACATGCCCGCATAAGGCCTTGGTTGTAGAAACAAAAGTGTGGCTACCAAAGCGGAAGAATGATGGGAAAACATCGAATAACTCTGAAGTGGAAGTCAAAAAGAAGGTGGGAGACGAGATTTCTCCTAAGAGGGTTCGGAGAGGAGTTGTATCTACTAGGGAGTTGAAGCTGGCGGTAACATCTGGATCGACAAACAGATTTGAAGTATTGGATAAGGTTGATGAGGTTAAGGCCAATGCTGAGACGAATCAGAATGATACTGCTAGGCCAGAGTTGCATGAGACAATGTTAGAAGAGGTTGTAGTCAACTCACCAAGGAGGACTCGAGCAGCTTCAGCTGGGGTTGCGGAGTTAATGAAGCAATTGAAGAATAAAAAGAGAGGTCCCATTGATAAAGGAAAAAAAAAAAGCAAGTGAAGGTGGATCATCCTACATCAGGAGGTAATTGTTCCTCTTCTCTTTCATTATGAAGTTACTTAGCTGGAATGTTATAGGACTTAATGCTCCTCTGAAGCAAAAAGAGTTTATAGTTAGGATTAGAACATTACAGGTAGATATTTCTTGTTTGTTGGAAACGAGAGTAAAACAGAATAATATGAAGCAAGTATTGAGTAATCATTTTGCTACTTGGTCGGTATTCCATAATTATTCAACAGCCTATAATGGGAGGATTTGGTTCCTATGGAAATCAGAGTTGAATGTGGAACTAGTTGCTGATAAGGATCAGAGTATTACATGTGGTGTACAGTATGGTACTCAGAACGTTTATGTGACTACCATTTATGGGTGTGATAGTGAGAAAGACAGGAGGAGGCTTTGGACGCATCTGCTCACACTCCATAATAGGATTGCTGATGGTGTATGGATTCTAGCTGGAGACTTCAATATTGTGGCCCACCCTTCAGAGAGCTCGGATTTTAATGGTTCCCAGGTTGCGAGCTTAAGTGTCAGAGAATTCCAAAATTGTATGAAAAAGCTGTGAGTTATACATCATCCGTTCACTGGACCTGTGTTTACTTGGGGTAACCACACACTGTCAAAGAAGCTCGAAAGAGTTCTGATAAATGACAATTGGCTTACGCAAATACCAGATTCTACAGTTGAATTTTTGCCTCCTGAAGTGTCAGATCAGTGTTTAGCTTTGATTAACATGAATGTGCCAAGGCAATCTGTGCCCAAGCCATTCAAGTTTTTAACTTCTGGACAAGGCACATACAGTTTTTGAAGATAGTTGAGGAATCTTGGAGGCTGCCAACCCATGGTTCACCAATGGCTATTTTGCATAAAAAGTTTAAAAGGTTGAAAATTGTTTTAAATGAATTCAACTTCGCACATTTTGGTGGATTAAGTGAGAAGGTAAAAGCTAAGAGGGAAGAGGGAAGAGTTGGCAGCTGCACAAATAGCTGCACTAACTCAACCTGCCAGAGGTGATGCTAGAAGGGAGACAAAGCTTATATCGGAGCTCCATGAATTGTTGAAAGCTGAAAAAAGCTTATTGAGGAAGAAGTCAAGGATACAATGGAGCAAAGAAGAAGACATGAACACGGGGTCTTTTCACAGAATGGTGGCAGCTAAGCAGAAGAAAAGCACAATAAAGGTTTTGTATGACGGTGAGGGAAACAGGCTGGATACATTTTCACAAATTTCAGAGGAAGTTGTAGAGTTTTTTAAGCAATTGTTAGGCACTGTAGATGTAAATGTTGAAGGCTGCTCAAAGGAGATACTTGATGATATTCTACAGGATTTTTTGTCTGACGAATAGCAGAATGCATTATCACAGGATATTACAAGAGAGGAAATAAATAAAGCTATATTTTCTCAGCACAGTGGCAAAGCAGTAGGGCCTGCTGGTTACAATGCTCACTTTATTAAGTTTGCATGGAGCATAGTAGGGGAGGATGTTGCTAGAACCATTGCAAATTTCTTTCAAAATGGAGAATTGCTACTAGCTTTCAACTATACTATTATTGCTTTGGTGCCAAAAAGTCAATCTCATCTCCAACCAGCATAACTGATTTCAGACCCATCTCGTGTTGCTCTGTTATTTACAAGAGCATTACAAGGATATTGGTGAGTAGATTGCAACAGGTGCTGCCAACGCTGGTCAGCAAGAATCGAAGTGCCTTCATCAAAGGGAGGAGCATCACAGATAATGTATTACTGGCACAGGAACTGGTGAGAGGTTATAGCAGAACAATGCTTTCTTCAAGATGCGCATTAAAAATAGATTTAAAGAAAGCTTTTGATTCTTTAAATTGGGATTTGCTGATCATAGTGCTTGAGGCTATGAGGTTTCCATGGAGATTTATCAACTGGGTTAAAAGTTGTATCACCATGCCATTATTCTCATTGTCAATTAATGGAGGATTGGTTGGGTATTTTAAGGGAGCTAGAGGAGTAAGGCAAGAGGACCCTATGTTACCCTCCTTATTTGTTGTAGCAATGAATGTTGTCTTGAGGCTTTTGGATACAGCAGCAGCTCATAGAGTCTTTTCTTATCACCCAAAGTGTAAGAAGATCCAACTGACACGCTTGAGCTTTGCAGATGACCTGCTAATCTTCACAAAATGGAACCTGAAGTCCATACAGAAGGTACTAGAGCTATTTTACTCATTTTCAGACCTCCAGCTGAATTTTACAAAGAGTGAGTTATATTGCACAGGAGTTTCAAGGGACAAGATAGATGAAATACTGGTTGCAGCAAGGTTCAAGCATGGTTCTCTTCCAGTTAGATACCTAGGGGTACCACTGGTTACCCGCAGGCTTAGTGTTGGAGACTGTACGCCACTCGTTCAAAAGATCACAGCGAGAATTCAATGTTGGGCAACAAGACACCTGGCTTATGCTGGTCGGTTACAGTTAATCCAGTCTGTTATCTTCAGTCTCCATAATTACTGGTGTAGGCACTTTATTTTGCCTAAACAGATTCTTAAGAAGATTACTCAGCTTTGCCTAAGGTTCTTCTGGAAAGGGCAAACCAGCATAATAAAGGGGGCTCAAGTCATTTGGCAAGTAATTTGTAGGCCCAAGTCTAAGGGAGGGCTTGAATTAAAAGACATAGAGGTATGGCATCAAGTTTGTGTGCTAAGACGTCTTTGGTCTATATTTACACAGGCTGGCTCTCTATGGATAGCATGGATTCAGAGTTATGTGCTAAAAGGGAGAAGCATATGGGAGATTCCAATCTCCCATAGCTGCAGTTGGGGATTGAAAAAGATGCTTAAGCTTAGAAGTATTGCTTCCAAATTCTTAACACACACAGAGAATGGACTAATATGGAAAGTTCCTAACTACTCTACTGCCAGTGTGTGAGAGGAAATACGGAATAAGCAGTTGAAGGTCACTTTGCACGGACTTATCTGGTGCAAATTACATGTCCCTAAACTCTCTATAATAGCTTGGATGGCCATCCTTATCAGGCTTCCTACTAAGGATAGGCTGATCTCATGGGGGATTCCTATGGATGTGGGATGTGTGTTATGTAAGCAGGAAAACGAGAGCAGGAGTCGCATTTTCTTCAGCTGTACATACTCCAAAGCTGTCTGGAAACAGGTGCTACGGTTATGTAATCTGCAGAGGAAGATAACTAACTGGGAAGAAGAGTTCCAATGGGCAGTATGCAAGCTGAAAGGGAAAGCACTAGTTTCAGTTATATTGAGGTTGGCCCGGGGATCATATATTTACTTGATTTGGGCAGAAAGGAATAGAAGACTTTTTAGATCAGAAGAAAGCACATGCGAGCAGATCTTGGAGCAAGTAAAACAAATAGTAAGACTAAGATTAGTAGGATAAAAAATATAGAATATGACCCAATTAATCAAGTGCTAAGTGAGAAATGGGAGCTAGGTAGAGCAATATTTGTATAAAAATTGAACAGTGTTGTACTGGTTACTCGGTAGCAGCGATTGCTGCTTCTTGGATAATAAATTTATTACTTATAAAAAAAAAAAAGATACAAGACAATGTAGCTTTACAATGTAATTGGTTCCTATCTCCAAAGTGAAAACAAAACGCTCAAAAAGGTTGTATTTAGTACAAGGTTTGGATTGTCTGCCCTACATCATCCATGGAAGGCCTATCTTGTGGATTGCGTGACAGACAATGCCTGGCAATTTCAATCATTCCGACCATGTTTTCATTCACCTTTCCCATTTTCTTATCACATATACTATTCAGTCCTTTCCTTTTCTTCTCTAGCATGTACTCTGCCAGGTTGGTCAATGAAGGTCTCTCCCCAGTAATTAGCTCTAACAGCAGTATTCCAAAGCTGTAAACATCAGACTTCTGTGTAAACATTTTTCGATGATTCTTTAGTTCAGGCGCTACACGGCCAGGATTTCTTTTGATTATCATTTCTGGGGGTACTAGGTAAGGCGTTTCGTAGCTAGAAAGACATGCAGAAAAATCCATTCGGATCAAGATGTTTGAAGACTTAATCACCCCACAAACAAGTGCTTCCCCATCATCAGTTACTCGGCTATGAATTGAGGCAACTGCCTGAGCAGCACAGAATGCTATCTGTTTCCTAATTCCCCAGTTTAATGGAGTGAACTGAATCCCTTCGCTGCCTACATATTTGCAACTGATAGTCAATTAAAACTGTCTCTAACATCATCTAAATATTTGTAGCTATTTCAATAAGCTGCCAATAGTATCTGAGTTTCTTCTTCTCTAATAATTCTAACGCACTTTGTTAACATGTTTAAGAGTTCCAAGTAATAGTTCAACAAATATAACCCAGAAAATGGATTTTAAAATAAGGTTAAGATAAAGGAAGAAATCATAGCTTACCATGTAACAGCTCATCCAAACTCCCCAAGATCAAATAGTCGTACAAAATGAAAGCTTCTCCACCATACCAAAAACTGAAATGTATTGGCAAGAGCCAATCATCCCGGATTCCTCCAAAGAAGTTAATCAACAACTCGAGATTAGCTGCATTCATGATCAACCCTTCTCGAATCTTTCGGATTGTGACAACTGAACCACATTTAAGAACAACCTTAAATAATGTCCCCAAGGTACCTTCACCAAGCCTAGTTTTTGGAATTTGAGCCAGTTCTGGTGGATCATATTTCTTGGCTACTGTTATATCCCCAAATATTACCCTCATAGGAAGAGTCACCTTAACTTCCAGCAATGAAACTGGGGTTGTAGTTGTCACTTTTCCATCACTGGATTTGGGCTTCTTTTTTCTAACTCTGGTGCACATCACAACAACGAAGGCAATAACTGCAAGTACCATGCTCGTATAAATGAACACGTGGAGATTTTCCAACATCCAGAATAGATTAAAAGCAACCCCCGGAGCCGCTTTGTCAGGAAACCTGATAGACTTTGATTTTCAATGTTTTCTTCATGAAATGTTAAAGAATAGAAGTATTATATTTTTTTCCCTGTTTTCAATTTTGTATTATTTTAGCTTATAAATTTGTAATAGTTCATAGTTTTTTTCACCATTGATCTTGGGATCATCAATCAGCCACACGGGACTTCATTAAATTTAGTTGTAAAAAGATTAAAATCAGGGCAATTCTATATCAAAGAAAGCACCCATCAATCAGAATCGTCCATTTTCTTTATTGATTAATCAAGCTGCTGCTGAATCAAGTGCATTGCAATTATATTTAGTCAAAAACACCTTATAAACTTTGACATTTGTGATTACAACTTTATTATGATCAAAAAGTAAAAACAATAGCAAAACTTTGTAAGTAAAATTTAAAACCGACAATGGGTCGAGAATGTGAATAGGTTTGGTCCGTTTGGCAGGAGAGACAGGAGAATTAAAAGTCTGGCCCAATGACCCCCAGCCCCCAATCAACCGCAAAACGTAAGCGTTTAATTTGCTTATAGTTTGACGGTATTGCCTTCGAACGCACGTTGAGTCACGGTTTCATGGTCCATTTTCGACTGAAAACAGCCGCTACCCCATCCTCAAGTCTCAACTCTGAACAACTTGAATTTCCTGTATCCTTATACAGATCTCACTCAATCTTTTCTCTGTTAAAACTTTAAAATACCAGAAAATCAAAACCAAAGATAACCTTTTTTTTAAGATTCTTTCTTTCTATATACAAACTTTTAATTTGTTCTGCATTTTTTTTTTTGATACGAGAACAAAGAAACGAAATGGAAGATACCAAGAACCCACCACCACAACAAACGGAAGATAAAGAAAAACAGGAATCTCCACAAAAGGAAGAACAAGGAAAAGAAGAAGAACCCTTGAAGGAGGAGCGACGACCAGCTTCAACTACAGCACCAAAGAGTGGAGGAGGATGGGGCGGTTGGGGTTTCTCTGCTTTCTCTGTTCTCTCAGATCTTCAAAAGGCTGCCACTGTTGCCGCTGAGGAGATTTCTCGCAATGTATGCTTCATTTTATCTCTTAATATTTGTTTATGTATGTAATCAATTTATAGGATTTGTTTTTTTTTTCTTGTATTGCTTTTCGTATTCCAATTAAAGATTGTTTCTTTTATTATGTTTGGGCATGTGGGTTTGAGTCAATTCAGATCTCGGATTGAAATTTGGTGTTTTGGGGTTTTTTTGGAATAACCATTTTGAAGAAAGAGTCATTTTGTTGTTGAATTTAGTAGGTTTCTTAATACTGTGGAAGCCGTATTCACTATGGGTTTAGTTAGTAGAGAATTTTGGTTTGGTTGAATTAAACCTCTGTCTTTGATATGTGAAGCATTGGAAGTGTAGGAAGGAAAAAATGAAGCTCACTGTTCAAAGACCTAATCTTGTGTGAAAATTCACAATCTAGGTGTTGCGTTTGTATATTCTGAAGGTTGACACTACATCTAAAAAAATTAACTCCATTAGAATTCCTTACTTGCCCCACCTTTTGTTGAATTCCCATATTGATAAAATGTTTTTGATGTACAAAACCCAATTTGATTATGCCAAAGAAAATATGTATTATTTATCTATAATGAACTCTTTTTTAAACTTTTCAGGAGCCTTTTGTGATTTGCTTTAAATGCATTTTCTCAAATATGTAGCTCACTGTTCAAGGACCTAGTCAGTTGCCATTATAGTCTTTTATTCATTATGTTTAGACATGCTTGTAGTTTCCTGCCGGTAGTAGAAAATATCACTAAGTTTCCAATAGATACTAGATACTATAAATATTGCTGAAATTATTGTATGCATTCCTTATGAAGAACTCTCTTCACTATTATTGGTGAAAAGTTTGTCCATCTCATCATTTGAAAATGAGTCTTGTCAAACTTGCAACTATTCCATATTTTGCTTAAGAAGTCTGAGTTCAATATTTCCTCTTCCTATTTGGTTTAAGGGATCACTTGCATTTAGCTTATCCTATGCTAACTATTACCATTTTATCCTTCGGGAAGCTGGAAATGTTGAAAAGGACAAAGGTATAACAATATTAAGATCAAAATAAGTGTCCCTTTGAGGTCAATAATTTTTATATTTTATCTTTTGACTGTCCTCTTAGCACTTTCAGTTTGTGCATTATGAGTGTATGTAGTAAGTGATAGGGCATCTTTAAACATTTCAAATGGTTACTTGAAACTTCCTTGTTTCTAGAAGTGAGAATCCTTGTTATGGTATCCGGTGTTGAGAATTATCTTTCAAGGAACATTCTGAATAACATAAAATGATAATTATAAGAATTACATGCAATAGCTACTTATGTAATGATCATAACAGGCAATTTTCTCTTTTGTTAAGCAGTGGTTTCTGGATGCAGGCTTCTGTGGTTGCAGAGAAGGCTGCCAAGAGCATTGCAGATATGCAACTTGCTGAAGACTCAGAATCTTCTAAGGAGGAAGAAGTAGAAGAATCTCCAACTGAAAAGGAAAGTGAAGACGAGAATGACAAGCTACGAAAGTCTGCTCTGGATAAGTTAGAGAAAGCAAGTGATGATTCTTTCCTTGGCCAGGCAAGTCTTTTTTATCCATTTTGATATTATGTGTACTAGTACTTGCTGCATAAATCTGGGATGATGGTAATCCTGCAGGCTTTGCTTTTTTTGTCTGTGTTTGAATCTCTGTGCTTTATTTCTGCAGACACACCAGTGTGCACTGACAGTTGTATCATATCATTATGATGGACCAGAATCAATATTTGGTTTTTTATTTATTATGTCCTACTTTCATTGTTTGCAGGGTTTGATGGTTTTTGACAACTCTATGGAGAATTTGGCTTCTGGTGCATGGCAGGCACTAGGGAGTGCATGGAAAGGGGGTACCAATCTTGTTCAGAAGTATGTTTCATGGCATTTCAATGTATCCTTTTTTTGGCCACTTGTTATTAATTGCACCTGGGAGAAGATTGATCGTTCAAGTTTCAAGCTAGGTAGAGTTTGGTTTTTAAATAATTAGTTGATTCCCCGGAGCTAACCAACAAAAATAGAAAATGAATGATTGATGCTTGTTAATTGCAATGCATCTTCAAAAATTTTGGATGCGAATATTTTTAATTTCTAAACCAATGGGTTTTGGGTTCTATCTTCATGGAATATTTGCTTGTATGTTGGATCTTCCCCACTCCTCTGTGGAAGCCGTGACTATGTTCAAGACAATAACCACTAATGTTTTGCATGAGACTTTTAGAAGTTTCCTGGCATTTAGAATATTCAAATGTCGTGCTTATCGTACGGTTTCCCTCTATTTTCTCCTGATGTAGTACCATTCCACAGTTGTTGTCATGGAACTCAAGAAATGGATACTCTTGAAACATTTATGCACTAATAAGTTTTTCTTTCTTTTGTTGTCTAGGCTTGAGCATTCTGCTGCAAACATTGCGGGTTCTATTCAGCATGGAGGTTTACCAGCTGGTTCAGTTGCACCATCATTAATTGAGGTTTGTCATTGTGCAGTCCTTATATCTTGTTTGGTCATGTCATGATCTCTTGTTTGTCATCTTTATTTTGCAGACTGGAAAAGCATTTACAACAAAGGGAATGCAAGTGCTTGAATATGTGGGGAAGGAGACTATGGATTTACTGATCACTGAAACTGGTATAGAAGTTGAAAAGAACCCTAAGGGCTCTGAACAGCCATTTGACGAGGATCACTTATTTGAGGATGTTAGTTTTGATCGATGCTTCTACATATATGGAGGTCCAGAGCAGTTGGAGGTTAACTTCTTATCCTTGAAATTGATATTTGATGATTGGAATATTATATCTTTCAAGTTGCTGAACTATAATGCTGTCAGGAACTGGAAGCATTGTCCAGCCATTATGCCCTTCTATTTAATCGAAGAAAAGCAAAATTACCATCAGAACAGAAATCTGTGTATGAGGGAAAGCTTAAACAAATCCAGCAAATATTCAGTTTAGATGCTGAAATGGATGGAAATGGTCCTGAGTTGGCCAAAGGAAAGAAAATAGAGACTGGAACTGAGGGCAGTAATGATGAGATGAAAATTTTACATGATTCAAGTGTCAGCAAGGCTGCTGATATGGCTGCTGGGTAATTTGCTGAACACTGTTTCTTTTCATTTACCCTAGCTTAGAAAATTTCCGCACCTAATTATTACTGGCTAATGGCTATATAATGTGGTTCTCTGATTGTCTTCACTACTTACAGGTATCTTCCATTTGGGCTTTTATTCAGGAGCTGATCTAGTTCTAATTAGTAAATTTGAATTTCCTTTAACTGAGTTAATTTTGTTTGTTTCCATATGCTTAGTGGCCTCTGCTTGATAACTACTCCATTTTCATCCTATCAAATTTAAATCTTACACATGCTTCGGAATACAAAAAAATGGATTAGGTTAATGTTGTGAATGGCCCCTAAACTATAGTGAAATATTCGATGTGGTACTTGAACTTTAAAAATCTTTAATATAGTATCTAAACTATGAATCTGTTAACTGATATGGTATTTGGAGGATTATTTATCTGCCACTTGTCATCATTTGAAGCTAGCCATGTTGGGGATGAGTACTACTTTAGTTAACAGATTCATAGTTCAGGTACCACATTAAAGATTTTTAAAGTTTAGGTATCACATTGAACATTTCACTATAATTTAGGGACCATGGCATGGTTGTAAGTGTGTTGGGTTTCTTGATCCAGTATGAACTCAGAATGGATATACTGTTATTTGTCATCTTTTTTCTTTTTCTGATAAGCATAGTATTATTTGTAATTGATGCTGCTCTGTTAATAATTCCACAACATTTTCAGGTTCACAAATGCATTGGTAGGATTAGCTGTTAATGATGTAATTCAAAGAACTTCTGGAAGGCTGGAGTCGCTGCACTCAGAGGGGGTTCATGTATTGAGATATCTTTGAATTCTTTTTGGCAATTGTTTTTGGATATAATCTTTATTATGTGTACCTTGGTGAATATAAAACGACCATGCATATCTATGCAGAGGCTTTCAGAAATGTGCTGTTTTGCGGTGTCTCAGCTCCTGATGCTTGGTAAATCTGTCATATCTGGTGCTAACAAAGTTCAAGATGAAGATGCTGATGGTGATATGATGAATATTGACTGGCCTGAAGATTCCATTGAGAAGGCTAAACTAATCAGAGTAAAGGCACAATCAATGACTGGATACATGGAAGCTGTATCCAGCAGCTTTATCACAGGTTAGTTTCCTTGAACTCCTTTCTTAACCCCCCCCCCCCCCCCCCTGCATATCCCTTTATTCTTTTCTTAGATCAGTTATATATTTGCATTGGTACATGTGAGTACAGATAACCGAGGGTGATTTTCTTTTAAATGTGTTCTTCAGGCATATCTGATGTAGCTGAAACTTATCTGGCGACTATTAAGAGTGCTGATTCAGATTCACATGAAGCACTTCCTCAGGCATCAATCCAGGAGAAAGCTAATTCCTTCTCTGAACATCTCCGTGGTGATCAGACCATTGCAGTGAGCAAAATCCAGGATGGACTCCAATATTTGTCTTATGTAGTCCTTTCGACCTCAATGCCAGCTGCTTGAAAACTCAAATTCTCTACATTTCTTGTTAGTTTGCACGTAAATAGTTGCACTTTAGATGAGTTCAACCCCCAGTCTCACCAAACTTATTATGGTACACCATTGAAACCAAACTCATTTTTAAGCAGGGGGAAAGAAGTTTCTTTTGTGTAGAATTCTGTGTGTTAAACTTGAATGCTAATCTGGAATGTTGAACAGTCTATTTCCACATTAAGGATAAAAAAAAAAAACATGAGTTTTCAGAAATTTTCTTGGTCTTGATTCTATGTTTAGCATTTTGGAAAATCGAACTGGAAATAGCAGAAAGATGTATCCTGCGAGACGCCCAAGCTTGTACGCAATACTGAGCTGCACCCTTGAAAAAGTTTTGAAAAATGTCTTTATTTATATATGTTTGTGTTCAATTTTAAACGCATGGAACAATTTTTCAAAGGGCTTTTAAAATTTGATTATATATATATATATATATATATATGTAGGGTGGTTTAAAGGTTAGAGCTTTGTACTTGCTTATGCCATGATACCCCCCAATTAAACCACCAACCAATTTGTTTTATATAGGAAAATGGTCCAATGTTCAACGTATAAAAAACATAAAAACAAGTTATTGGTTTAATTGAATAAAATTTATTTTTTTCAATGAAAAATTTTTGAATTTGACTCTTATTGATGACCGTTTGTTGAATTAATTTCAAATGCACAATTTATAATCACTTATCTTAAATTATCAAGTACAGCATCTGACTTTAAAAATTGAACAACTTATATATTTTATATTGATTTGAAAAATTGAATAATCTATTTATATAAGATTTTTTTTTTTAAAAAAAAAAACATTACAAGATAAATTATATGGACACTGGCTCTCGTTCCAAAGATAAGACTGCAACTATTATTATGTCAACTATCTAACTACCACACATACAAGGTATCACCATGGGAGAGATTGATCAAGTTTTTATCCAGGAACCAGAACATAGACCAAAATTAAGTACAATCGAAGTGGAGGAAATCCCAGTAATCGACCCGTCGGTTTCCAACGCTTGCTTCTGAGATTGGAAATGCATGCAAAAACTGGGGATTTTTTCAAGTGATCAATCATGGGGTGCCTTGTGAAATACGCCGAAGGGTTGAGAAGGTGGCTAAAACGTTCTTTGATCTGCCCATAGAGGAAAAGTGGAAGGTTAAACGAGATGAATTGAATTTTACAGGGTACCATGATAAGGAGCATACTAAAAATGTCAGAGACTGGAAGGAGGTTTTTGATATGTTGATCCAGGACCCGACGGTTCTCCCAGCAACCCCAGAGCCTGATGATGAGGAAATAAGGACGTATACGAACAAGTGGCCCGAGTATCCCATTGAGTTTAGGTAAAGAAACTTAAAAAGGAAAGAGTTTAAATTTTGCTCAAAGAATGCATACTTAATTGTCTTTGATTGAATTTCAGAGCTGAGAAAACCCTACTATAATTAGAGTTTTCACAAGAACATTTGCCTTAAATTAAGCTCGGTTAGGATTTTGGACATGTTTTCTTTCACCAGAAAACCCAAAAACCATAAAGGAAAAAGAAAATAGTACAAATCATATATATATATATATATATATATATATATGTATAACAATGGAGTCATGATAGGGTCAATAGATTTGGCTTTTGCACTTATTTTATGCAATCATTTGTGTATAGGGAGACATGCCAGGAGTATGCTCGAGAGGTGGAAAAACTGGCTTTCAAGTTGTTGGAACTCATTTCTCTAAGCTTAGGCTTGCCTGCTAATCGGTTGAGTGACTACTTTAAACACCAGACTGATATGTTGAGGCTTAATTATTATCCCCCTTGCCCTTCCCCTGAGTTGGCACTTGGCATTGGTCGACATAGGGACGGTGGTGCGCCTTAACTGTCCTTGCTCAAGATGCTGTTGGAGGGTTACAAATCAAGAGGCAATCAGATGGAGAGTGGATTCCTGTTAAACCAATCCCAAATGCCTACATCATTAACGTTGCTGATTCTCTTCAGGTACCATGGCTTTTGGTATGTCTTTAATTATACCTACAAACAAACAGCATATCGTAAAACAAATGGTGTTTTTGCAGGTTTTGAGTAACGATCTTTACGTGAGTGCAGAGCAAAGAGTTGTGGTGAATTCTGAAAGGGAAAGATTTTCTATTCCATTCTTTTTCATGCCTTCCCACTATGTCACAGTGAAGCCTCTAGAGGAGCTATTGAATGAGCAAAATCCAGCAAAATATAAAGAATATAACTGGGGAAAGTATTTTGTCAATAGAAAAGCAGCAATTACAAGAAACTTGATGCTGAAAACATTCAAATTCATCATTTTAAGACATCAGAGTAATTGTTGCTGTAATCATTTCAGCTTCAAATTGTTATTTTTCATCACATAAACTCATCAATACAATCAATATATTTATATTAAATTTATCCCAACTTAATATAAAGCTCAATTTTTAGACAACTTAATATAATCTCAATTCAAAGTGAGACAATCATTTTAAATAATTTTAATTAATTTATTGATGCTTGTGTGTTAATATCTATATTTTTTATATAATTATTATAATTATATTACTTTTTCTTTAATTATACATGCATATATTTTATTATTTATATATTTATATTTTACTTATTTATATATTACATGTTATTGATATAGAATTTTAAAATCAAATGAATATAAAACTTTTGTTTCTGAAATGCAGGCATGCTTCTAGAAAAAAAAATTAAAACTCTGTTTGGTTTAAGAAAATATTTTTATTTTTATTTTCTAAAAAAATGTAATTAGTAAATAAAAATAAAAATTGTTTTCTAAAACTACAAAAATAAGGAAATAAATAAAATATTAAATGATATTATTGTTAATGACATTTAATTATAAATATAATAAATGTTTATTAATTAATAATATTAAAAATGTTTAAATATAATAACTTACAAAATACAAAGAAAAAAATAATATAGATATCTTATTTTTACAATTAAAACTATCTTTTTTTGTTTCATATTTCAATTCATTTTTATTTTTAAAATGCAAACACATTTTCACTTGTATTTTTTATTTTTCAAAAAATAAAAACAAAATAATAATTTTATTTTCTGAATCCTAAGGTTTTCACTTCCCTCTGGATGGTGTTAATATTGCTTGCTAGTCTAAGCCATGACGGTAGTTTGGTGGTGGTAATTTTGGTAAAGCAGCACTAATGACAAGCGAAGAATTTTCTATTTAGGTGGATAATTATCAAAGCATATTTCATCGTTTAACGTTCATGATTAGTGATCCTTATGGCCTTACTAAATAAAACAGGAAAATCTTATTGCTGGCTGACTAGAGTTTTTATTTATTTATTTATTTATTTAAAAGAAGTCAGTGCCCTTTACATGAAAAAAAGAGAAAAAATAATTTAATTCGAACCCAAATTTTAATATCTTTCTTAACGCTTCTTTGTCATTAAATCAAAAAGCTTTGTCACTAGATCAAAAAACGAAAGACGACTTACTAGAGTTGCATAACAATGAAGGAAAATGCATAATCATCACTAAAAAAAATATTTTATTATAAGAGGAAGATTTAAATGAATTTTTTTATTAAATTGATTAAATAAAAATTAAAATGATATATTAAAAAATTAATAATTTATTCATTTTTTAAAATTAATATTTTTATTAAAAATTTTAATAAAATTTTAATAATTAAATATGTATTAATTAAATTAAAATTATAAAATGGTATTTTCAATAATTTTTTTTACGAATTATTAATTTTTTCATTAAACTCTATTAATTTATATATTTAGATGTTTTATTAACATTTTTATTTAACTTTTTTAATAAAAATTTAACGAATTTTATCTTTAAAAAAATTCAATCTAATTCTTGTTCTTTAACAAAAACTTTTGAATTAAGATTCTAAAAGTTATTTTTAATTAAACCAACTTTATTAACCCGATTATTGCAATTTTAAATTCTAATTTATTTTCATTAAATTATTGTTTTATTTGCTTTACAAAATTTGAGGTAAATAGATTGTTCAATCTCTTAGATTAAAATAAAATATGTTATACCTAACAGTTTAAAATAAGTAATTACAGGTCGTGCATTCGATATGACCTTAACAAATGATCATAAACAAGACTCAAATCCAAAATTTTATCATCGAAGAGAACAATTTTAATCGATTGAACCAATCACTTGTTAGACATTAAATAATTAATAGTCCACATCGGCCAATGCAAGCACAAACGTCAGAAGTCACCACTTCCAAGCTCCAAAAGAGAGTTTTATCAAACTTGCCTTTGCCTAGTTACCCTCCTAATTTTTCTTCAAAACCCGTCCAGGTTCAATCTCTGTTAAACTCCAACCTTGTCCGATATAAAAGGCCAATTCCCCTGGCTGTCACAGACAAAACCAATTCATTTACCTTTAGCAATTGAAGAATTATTAACAGGGAAACACAATGGGAGAAGTTGATCCTGCTTTCATCCAAGACCTCGAACACAGGCCTAAACTCTCCATCACACAAGCAGAAGGAATACCCTTAATTGATCTTTCAGTGTTGAATTCACCTGATGCAGTATCAGACCCCAGCACCCTTGACAGCCTTGTTTCTGAGATACGTAACGCTTGCAGGGACTGGGGATTTTTCCAAGTGATCAACCATGGGGTACCATTGGAACAACGTCAGAAACTTGAGAAGGCAGCCAGGAAATTTTTTGCTCAACCTTTGGAGGCGAAGTTGAAGGTCAGGAGAGATGAATTGCAAGTTTCAGGTTATTATGACACTGAGCATACCAAGAATGTTAGAGATTGGAAAGAGGTGTTTGATTTTTCAGTGCACAATCCGACGATAGTCCCAGCTTCAACACGCCCTGATGACAAGGAAGTAGTTGAGTGGCATAATCAATGGCCTGAGTATCCTCCTGAACTAAGGTAATTTTAATCAACATAGAACTATAATGAAATATAAAATCAACCAACATTTATTGAATTTGAAACCACCCTTTTTCCCACTGGATATCTTCATTATTCTGTTTACTTATTGGGGGTTTTAGAATTACTGACATTTCAACTATTAAGTTCAAATAATTTTTGGAATTTTAATTTATGTGACAGAGAGGCATGTGAAGAATATGCAGAGGAACTAGAAAAATTAAGTTTCAAGTTGATGGAACTTATTGCCTTGAGCTTAGGCTTGCCAGCAGATAGCTTCTATGGCTACTTCAAGGAGCAAACCAGCTTTATCAGGCTTAACCACTATCCACCTTGCCCTGCTCCTGACCTAGCTCTAGGCGTTGGCCGACACAAGGATGCTGGTGCCCTGACCATTCTTTCTCAAGATGATGTAGGAGGATTGGAAGTGAAGCGAAAATCAGATGGAGAGTGGATCCGCGTCAGGCCTACCCCAGATGCTTTTATCATTAATGTTGGTGACATTATTCAGGTATAGTTTTGAAACTCAAATTAACATGGCTATCGACCTAGCACGGATATAGGACTCTAACCTGTTGGTTCCATATCTTTCCCTTGGAGGCCTAATCTGATGACTGTAAATGGTTCTTTTAGAACTTGTGACCAAATATGTATTCAGTAGTAATATGGAAATCAGTTGTGGCTGATCAATCATTCAATATCCATACAGGTTTGGAGCAATGAGACATATGAGAGTGTGGAGCATAGGGTCATGGTGAATTCCGAGAGGGAAAGGTTTTCGATTCCATTCTTCTTTAACCCCGCTCATTACACCATTGTAAAGCCCTTGGAGCTGTTGACAAGTGAGAAAGATCCCCCTAGATATAAGCCTTACAATTGGGGGAAATTTTTTGTCACTAGGAAGGGCAGTAATTTCAAGAAGCTTGACGTCGAAAACATCCAAATCTACCATTTCAAGATATCCGAGTTAGCAGACCGCTTAGGAGAAACACTATCAGTGAAATAACAAGATGGAGCATTAGCAATTGACAGCATATAAATTAGTAATAATGATTGTAATAAGTTCATCCTGTAAACTTCATGCTGCATTTGCTGAGGATAAGACTTTGAATGTATGGTGTGGTTGATATTTTTATTATGATTAACAAAAATGGAACTTCCTTATAAATATATTAGAGTAACTTTTAATACTTCTTCTCGTTCTTTGTATGCTAATAGACTAATTCTCATCATCTCATATCTTGTCAAATTTGGAAAAAAAAAATTCCAATGATATCCTATATGAAAGGCTACCATAATTTTTTCCAAGCAAATTTAGGATCATTTGGATTAAAATTGAAAAATAATCATTAAAACTATTAAAATAAAATTTATAGTATACATTTATATTTGTAAAATTAATAAATAATTTTTAATTATTAATATTATTTTTATGTCAAATAATATTTGAATAAATAAATTTTTAATTTTAATTTTTTTCTAATTTTAAATTTACTTTCTCCCAAATTAATATATATTTTCATATCGTACATTTAAAATTGAATCTTGATTTATAAAATAAAAAAACTCTTCCTCTTACCAACCAAACTAACTCCAATAGGTATTGTGAATGATTTCTGGCTTCCTGTCTACTTAGGTTCACTATAAAATTGAATTTGATAGGGTACGTAGCATCCACATAAGCCATGTTAGTTTATCTAATTAGGTTGTATTTCATTCATAATTTTTTTGTTATAATATTATAATTATTCAATCATATTAAATAATTATATAAAGATTCACCATTTATAAATGAGATTTCATATTAAATTTAGTAAATTTCATATAATTTTAATTATAATTAATTAATTAATTATAATACAATATGTTATTATCTATTCGGCACAAACAACGAAACAATGACTGGTAATTAGTTAATATATAATGACTAATCCATTTTCATCTTTCTAAGTGTACTAATTGTCCCAAGATCAACAAAACTAGGACTAATTAAAATATATATCCGAAACAAAAATCTTTGAAATAAGATTGTAAAAAAAATTATTGTTAATTAAAGCATTATTTGAGTAGAATTATTAAAACTCAATAAAATTCTTTGATCTTTTAACTTTAAATTATAATTTATTTCACCAACGTTTATTAATCTGAGTGAGAAAAAATTTAATTTTTTTTTAAAAAATAAAATCTCGATTTCAAATATTGTAAATAAATAAAACAAATTTAAGAGAGTTTGACTCCTTATGAGGTTCGATCCATTTCGATCTTGATTAATTAAAATTCAAAATGATTATCGAATATTGAGGAGATCCCAAACAAAAAAAAATTATAATTTATTTCCTTTAAGAACTGCCTGAAACGAATCTAACAATTTTCTCGGATTCACCAAAGTATCCAAACTAGGCAACCACGTTAATTGGTCAATGCGAGCACAAACGTCAAAGGTAACAACACAATGAGAGAAGTTAATTCTAGAACTGGAACACAAGCCTAAACTCTCTGTCATTGAAGCTAAAGGAATACCCATAATTGATCTTTAGAAGAAGCACTATCAGTGATATAACAATATGGAGCATTCACTATTGATAGCATGTAAATTAGTAATAATAATTGTAATAAGTTCATCATGTAAATTTCCTTCTGCATTGCGGAGGATAAGACTTTGAAAATATGGTGCGGTTGATATTTCTATTATGATTAACTTTAGTGGAAGTTCTTTATAAATATATATTAGAAAAACTTCGAAGATTTCTTCTCGGTTTTTGTCTGCTCTTTGACCAATTCACATTATCTCATATCTTGCAACATTATTGTATATCCTTTTAAATTCATCCTTCTGGGTTTTCTTTTCTGTCTCTAAAACATTATTTATATCGCCTTTGACCTTTGGGGATCAAAGATTTCATTTTATCTGATGCCCTCTAGGTCAGTCAAAAAACAAAACCCATTTCCTTGAAAGTTCGACAATCCTGTCCAAACTTCAACCGATGAGCTTCGTCCATTAGCAGATAGTACCCAAAACCCAACCTAGAAACATGGAACAGAAGCAGAAACTCATGATCTTAGTTTCAATTCTGATTTACTACCTGCCTTCCATGGTGCTCGGAACATCATTAGAACCAGCAAAACACTTTGTGCTTGTACATGGGTCTTGCCATGGTGCTTGGTCATGGTACAAGCTGGTGCCACTGCTAAAATCAGCTGGCCATAATGTCACCGCCACAGACCTGGCAGGGTCAGGGGTTGATCCACAGCAAGTGAACACTCTCAAATCGATTTCTGATTACATCAAGCCACTAAGGGAATTCCTGGCATCTCTACCTGATCAAGGAAAAGTCGTCCTTGTTGGTCACAGTTTAGGCGGTTTGGCTATCTCTCAAGCGATGGAAAGGTTTCCTGAGAAGATTTCTGTAGCTGTTTTTCTCACTGCCTTGATGCCTGGCCCAACCCTCAACATTTCCACTCTCGCACAAAAGGTACTCATACAATGATGCAATAATTGTGAGATTCGAGAATGGTAGTGTTGACCGCTGACCAACCTTGCCTGGCTGGTATGAAAACTGAAAGGCGACCAGCCTGCCCCTAACAGCGATCATCCTAACAATTTTTTTGAGTTGCTGATATTTTTTCTGTGTCATTGTTAAAGGCATTAATGGAGCAAGATTCCCAAATGGACAACCGGTTTAGCTATGATGATGGTCCCGGCAACCCTCCAACCACCTTCATTTTTGGTCCACTGTACCTCTCTTCCAAAGTCTACCAGCTTAGCCCACCTGAGGTAAGATGATGCAACTATTTTCAACCATGTAGTAAGGGTCGATCAAAGATTCGTAAAATTTTATTTAAAAAAAAACATTATTTTAATTAATTTAATAATAATTACAGGATTGGGCATTGGCAAGTATGTTGATGAGACCATTACGTTTGTATAGTGTAGAAGACATGTCAAGAGAACTTGTACTGTCAAAGAAGAAATACGGGTCAGTTAATCGGGTTTTTATCATTTCGGAAAAAGACATGGTCTCGAAGGAAGATTTAGTACAGTGGATGATCCAGAAAAACCCGCCCCATCAAGTAGAAGAGATCAAAGGATCCGATCATATGGTCATGATGTCAAAACCTATACAACTTTGCAACCTTCTCGTATGCATTGCTCTGAAATACAATTATTTAAAAAAATAAATAAAGTTTGTTACTGTATCAAATCTTGTTTGAGATTTTCTGCTTTAATAAGTGAATATAAAATTCCTGCTTTGCTAGTATTTTGACTATTTTTTAATTGGTTTAAAAAACTTGAATCAATTTTGCCATCTTGAATTTAGATTAATTAATGTTCGGATAATTCAAATTATTTGGATTTAGGTCATTTGAATTTGAGTAATTTTATATTTAATTTATTAATTTTAAAAATAAATTAGATTAATTAAATAGAATTATAAAATTTTATTAAAAGATAAAAAATAAATAATATTTTAAAAATAAACATTATAATTTTTATACTTTAAATTAAAATTAGAATTTGATTTTCCATAAAATGAAAAAAAATGTGATTTTATTTTTTAAATCTAAAATAATTTTATTTAATATTTTGTTGTAATTATTAGTTCACTTTTAATAAAATTAATTCAACAAAATCATCTCAATTCTCAAATTTTTCTATAGATATTTCAATTTTAAAATTTGAAGTTTTCATCATTTTTCTTAAGTTTAATATAATATTTATAGATTAGTATCAACTATGGACCATATATGTTCATATCCATATGAACTACGGTATGATTAATGAAATAAAATTATTACTTAATAAGTGAAATACAACAAAATTCATCTCAATTTTATTTTTATTTAATATGTAATGGTCCATATGGATTAGGTCTTAATTAACAGGTTATTAGTTTTTTTAATTAATTGAAATTTACCATACTTATATAAGTATACCAATATAGTTTTACTATACCTTATACTAATGTGATATAATTAGTTTTATCAAATCATTATCAATTATTTTTTGTTTTAAAATTGATTATTATCTATCTATTGAATTATTTTATCAAAATAAAATAATAAAAAACTTGATTTATAATATATAATAAACATTAAAATTAAATTCAATTATAATATTAGACCATAATTTTGCAAATGTTTTTCCACCTCTGTCCCCATGTATTGGAATTTTTTTAAGTTATAAGCATAATAAAATATTATATTAATATAATTAATAATTATATAATAATTAAATTATAATCACTTAATAAATAATTAATAAATTAAAATATAATTTTGGAAGTATTTAATAAAGCAATTGGTAAGAAAAAGGCAAAAATATCTGCCAATATGCGATTCCGTTCAAAACTAGGGACAAAGACATAATCGCATGTCCCCTGCCTACATTAATGTTGTCATGTCATGTCATGTAGTGCGTTAAAATTGTGTGCCTCTTTCTCTCTCATTATCGACTCCATATCTGCTTATCCTAAACTTGTTTTTTTCAAGACTTTAAAAACATGTTGAAACTCCATTGTTGAATGAAATATTTTCACAAAACGAACAAGGATTTCCCAATCTATTTTGTAATTTTTAAATTAAAAACTTTAAAAACATGTTGAAACTCCATTGTTGAAATTCAGAAAGAAAGGTGCCTCTTACAAAATATCATACCAGGTTACTCTATATTTACAAACACCATTTCCAAAACATAGTAGCAAAGAAAGAACAAAATTACAAACGGTCCAAACCTGAAAACTTAAACTTAACAAGGATCATATGTTTCCGGCATGGAAAAACCCAGAAACGAAATTCAACGAATAAACCCAAGGAAGGGAGCAGGAGCAGCAAAATACCGGCTAGCCATCATTGCTACCAGCCTGTCGTTTTGGTGGATGACTATCCCAACTGCTTCGGCCACAGCCATGACAAATTCTATGGCTAGTTTCACCAACTTCACGCAAATCTCCAGTCTCTGCATCACCATTGTCGCAAGCTCTCTTTAGACGTCTTTTCCTTTCTTTATTTTCACTTTTTGTTGTGAATTTTCTTTTCCTTTCTATTTCCCACGTCCCTGTTTATAAATACCACCACAACAAGAAACAGAGTGGCCTACAGGGAAAAAATGATTGCTTACCGTTGATAAATATGGCCTTTGGAAACACCCAAGGGTCGGATCAATTATCATAAAATCAAGTAATTATATGATCTTGAAGTTATATATGATCTTGCAATGTTTGTCCCATGGAATTTGACTGTATATGGGACATAGGGACAGGCTTCAAGCTGTGGATGACCATGACAATATATCATTAATATGGTTGGCAACTTAGCCTTAAAATTCCATTATAAATATCTGACAAAGTTCATAGTTAATTAAATGGGTCCGACTCTTTTTTTATTTATATATATATATATATGTATATGTGCGCGCGAAGATATAGATAAAAATATTCCTTTAAAAGATGAAAAAAATATGGCCAAGAAGTTTTAAGGTAGATACGATGATTTGGATTGGAATCAAGTCTTTTCACCTCTTTGTAACATGGTTTTTGTTTTTCCATGAAAGAAAATAAAAATATTTTTGACATGGAATACTTATTTTACCCCAACATTATATATTTGTTTATTAAAATCATTTTACGTAATTAAGTTATTAAAATATTATTACATATTATATATTATATATAATAATTAAATTATAAATACTTATTTTAATAGTTATATACATATGGTATATAATAAATTATTAATATTTTTAAATAATATGATACGATTTGAATAAAAAAATATATGTTAATTTTATAACGTATAGGTTTGTAAATCTATCGTTAGACATTATATATTTGTTTATTAAAATCATTTTACGTAATTAAATTATTAAAATATTATTACGTATTATAAATTATATATAAGAATTAAATTATAAATACTTATTTCAATAATTATATACATATGGTATATAATAAATGATTAATATTTTTAAATAATATGATATGATTTTAATAGAAAAATATATGTTAACTTTATAACGTATAGGTTTATAAACCTATCGTTAGACATTATATATTATATATTTGTTTATTAAAATCATTTTACGTAATTAAATGATTAAAATATTATTATGTATTATATATTATTTATAATAATTAAATTATAAATACTTATTTCAATAGCTATATACATATGATATATAATAAATGATTAATGTTTTTAAATAATATGATACGATTTGAATAGAAAAATATATGTTAATTTTATAACGTATAGGTTTGTAAATCTATTATTAGGCATTGACTTAAAGAGTTGTCATCAATTTTTTTGTTTAGGTGTCATTGGCTATTTAACTAAATATATCATATTTTAAAGAGAAATCTTAAGTTTGACTCAGGTACTTTTAAAAGGTAGATTCAATATCTACGAAACCAAAATTAGGTCTGAGAGTACGGTTACATGTGACTAAAATTATAACACCCTCACAACGTCCATCAAAAAATAATACCAGCTTGATTTCGTGTTATCCATTTAGTTTTAAAAATTTTATCAGATAATTAATTATTAAAAATTATTCTTAATTGATTCCAATACTGTTGACAGAAAATTAAAAAAATTCTCTCACCTTAAGAGTATATAAGATAATTACTATTTCTTTTGTAGGAACTTTATCGTCACATTATTTAATATTAAAAAATTTTAAGAAAAAAATTAATATTTTAACTTTTTTCTGAAATTTTTTTCTTATTTTATTTAAAAAATTAATGCCTTTATTTAAGGAAAAATTAATACTTTTAATTTTTTCCCCAAATGAATTTTTTGAAATTGAAAAGATGTTTATTTAAGAAAAATTGATACTTTCATATTTTCCTTAAAAAAGCTTCTTTTGAAATATATTTTTGAAAATTTTTTATTTTCTAAGAAAAATTGATATATTCAACTTTTTCCTTAAAACCTCATTTTTTATTTTTTTATTTAAGAAAAATTAATATTTTCAACTTTTTCTTAAAAAATTTTTTAAATATAAATTTTTTGAAAAATTTTTACTTTTTAAGAAAATTTGATTCTTTCAATTTTTCCTTAAAACTCTTTTTTATTGTTTTATTTAAGAAATTTTGATTCTTTAACTTTTTCAAAATTTTAAAATTATTTTTATTTTTATTATTATTTTTTAGAACAAAGATTTATTAAAAAAATAATTAAGTAAATAAATAAAATAACACAAAGAAAATACCAAAAAGTCTAAGCTCAACTTGGCTTAAAAAGGCTTGGCTACAATAGTGCAACTTGATCTTATTCTAATAATCTAAAAGGCTACATTTTGGAAAACATTAACCCTTCAAGCTTTTTTTATTTATTTTATTTTACAATTTTCTTTATATTTCTTTATTTTTACAGAATTAACCACGAAACTCAAGCTTTAAGAAGATCGATAGGTTTTTTCAGATTTCAATGCATCACCAACACTGTTGTTATCTTAGGTCATCATTACCTCCCTCTTTTTTATTTTTTGCTTTTTTTTTCAACATCAAATTTTCAGTCAAAAATTCTGCACTTGAAATTTTGCTCTTTGATCGCCGTCGCTTTGACGATGTGAGTCACAACATAATCTTGCACCTAAAACCCTACTCTTTTATTGTTGTTGCTCCATCAATGTGAGTCACAACCACCACTACCTTCTTTACTGCTTATTATGATTGATTTTAGATTGATTGTGATTTTTTTGTATTTTGATGGTCTATTGAGTTTCGAGTATTATAGGTTTTGGGTCTTGACTAATTGATTTTTGGTAATGGTGATTAGATTACTAGTCATGATAATTTTAGTGGTGGTAGGATTAGGTAGTATGATAGGTTATAGGATTAGCCAATTTGGTGGTGATGGATTTTTGGTCGGTGGCTTTCTTTCTCCCTATGTTTTCTGTTAAATTCTTTTTTATGATTTTTTCTCTGTTTGAATGTGCTATGTTGATTATTGGATAAGATGGTTTGTGGATTGAGGCTATTAAGGGTTGTAGTTAGGAATGACACTCATACACAAAAAGGTTAGTGGTTGTGAGTAAATGATGGATTAAAGACTTGTGTGGTGTTTCTGATGATGGTTGCAGTGTGATGGAGAAAAGAACAAAAATAAGGTGGAGCTGCCAGTAATTGTTGGGTTTTTTTTTTTGTAGTTTTCACTTTAATGTGAGTTTTGCTTTGTAT